TAAAATCCCTCCCAAATTTTCTCTAAATCCCTCCCAGAGTTTCCAAATTTCCCCCTAAAATTCCCAAAATCCCCCCAAATCCCCAATTCCTTCCCAAATCCCCCAAAATTCTTGTAAAAATCCTCAAATTTTTTCCAACATTCCTCCTGAAATCCCCAAAATCTCCCCAAATTGCCCCCAAATCCCCCTAAAATTCCCCAAAATCCCCAAATTCTCCCAAAAATCAACTCCAAAACTCAAGAATTTTCCCAAAATCAACCCCAAAACTCCCGAATTTCCCCCAAATCATCTCCAAAATTCCCATTTTTCCCCATTTTCCCTGTCCCAGGGGTGCTGTCCCAGCTGTGGGCCCTGGAGCAGCACCCAGGGCACAGCCACAATTCCTCCCCAAATACCCCCAAAAATCCCTAAATTCTCCCCAAAATCCCCAAAACTAACCCCAAAAACCCCGAATTCCCCCCAAATCAACCCCAAAACTCCCGAATTTTCCCCAAATTCCCATTTTTCCCCATTTTCCCTCTCCCAGGGGTGCTGTCCCAGCTGTGGGCGCTGCAGCAGCACCCAGGGCACAGCCACAATTCCTTCCCAAATTCCCCCAAAAATCCTCAAAATCTCCCCCAAATCCCCAAAATCAACCCCAAAAATCCCGAATTCCCCCCAAATCATCTCCAAAACTCCCGAATTTTCCCCAAATTCCCATTTTTCCCCATTTTTCCCTCTCCCAGGGGTGCTGTCCCAGCTGTGGGCGCTGCAGCAGCGGGGCCGGGCACAGCCACAATTCCTTCCCAAATACCCCCAAAAATCCCCCTAAATCTCCCCAAAATCCCCCAAATCATCCCCAAAAATTCCGAATTCTCCCCAAAATCAACCCCAAAACTCCCGAATTTCCCCCAAATCATCTCCAAAATTCCCATTTTTCCCCATTTTCCCTGTCCCAGGGGTGCTGTCCCAGCTGTGGGCCCTGGAGCAGCACCCAGGGCACAGCCACAATTCCTCCCCAAATACCCCCAAAAATCCCTAAATTCTCCCCAAAATCCCCAAAACTAACCCCAAAAATCCCGAATTCCCCCCAAATCAACCCCAAAACTCCCGAATTTTCCCCAAATTCCCATTTTTCCCCATTTTTCCCTCTCCCAGGGGTGCTGTCCCAGCTGTGGGCCCTGGAGCAGCGGGGCCGGGCACAGCCACAATTCCTCCCCAAATACCCCCTAAAATCCTCAAAATCTCCCCAAAATCCCCAAAACCACCCCCAGAACTCCCGAATTCCCCCCTTTTCCCCCTGCAGGGGTGCTGTCCCAGCTGTGGGCGCTGGAGCAGCGCGCTGCCCAGGGCGCCGCGCTCCGGCAGCGGCAGCGGCGGCGCCGGGAGCGGCAGCAGCTCCTGAGCTCCAGGATCCGGGAGCTGCGGCAGCGCCGGGACCGGCTCCGCCTGCGCCTGCGGGACCTGGTGAGGCATGCTCCTGGGGGGTCCCAAAGTCTGCCCAACAGTCCTGGGGGTTTGTCCCAATTCCTGAGGGTTTTGGGGGTTTTTAACAAAATTCCCGACGGTTTTTGAGGGTTTTTCCCAAAAGTCCTGAAGGTTTTTGAGGGTTTTTCCCAAAAGTCCTGAAGGTTTTGAGGGTTTTTCCCAAAATTCCCGAGGTTTTTGAGGGTTTTTCCCCAAACTCCGCGAGCAGCGGCAGCTCCTGCAGAGCAGGGTCCGGGAGCAGCTGCAGAACATGGTGAGGGAAGGGAATTCCTGAGGGGTTTCCCAAAATTCCTGAGAGTTTTTGAGGGTTTTTCCCAAAATTCCCGAGGGCTTTTGAGGGTTTTTCCCCAAAAACTCCACGAGCAGTGGCAGACCTGCAGAGCAGGGTCCGGGAGCAGGTGCGGAAACTGGTGAGGGACAGTTCCTAAGGGGCTTCCCAAAATTCCTGAGGGTTTTTCCCAAAATTCCCGAGAGTTTTTGAGGGTTTTTCCCAAAATTCCTGAGGGTTTTCCCCACACGCCACGAGCGGCAGCAGCTCCTGAGCTCCAGGATCCGGGAGCTGCGGCAGCGCCGGGACCGGCTCCGCCTGCGGCTGCGGGACCTGGTGAGGCATGCTCCTGAGGGGTCCCAAAGTCTGCCCAACGGTACTGAGGGTTTGTCCCAAATTCCCGAGGGTTTGGGGGGTTTTTAACAAAATTCCCGAGGGTTTTTGAGGGTTTTTCCCAAAATTCCTGAGGTTTTTGAGGGTTTTTAACGAAATTCCTGAGGGGTTTTTGAGGGTTTATCCCAAAATTCCCGAGGGTTTTTCCCAAAATTCCTGAGGATTTTGAGGGTTTTTCCCAAAATTCCTGACGTTTTTCCCAAAATTCCTGAGGTTTTTGTGTGTTTTACCCAAAATTCCTGAGGTTTTTAAGGGTTTTTCCCAAAATTCCTGAGGTTTTTGAAGGTTTATCCCAAATTCCTGAGGTTTTTGAGGGTTTATCCCAAAATTCCAGAAGGTTTTTGAGGGTTTTTCCCAAAATTCCTGAGGTTTTTGAGGGTTTTACCCAAAATTTCCGAGGGTTTTTCCCAAAATTCCTGAGGTTTTT